TTCTTGTTTTCGTTTTTTTTTTGTCTTTTTCTTTTTTTTATTTCTTTTCTTTTTCAATTATAACATAAACAACAATAATGAAATGATTATTAGAATATCAATAATAATATAGATAATAATGATCGAGTTTTAACGATAATGTTCGAGTGAGATGAAAAATGAAATTTGACTGTATGAATTGATCATTGAACTGAAAGCAAAAGAAGAGATTGATAAAAACGAAGAGTATGGACTAACGTCTCGTCTTTGGCTGAGGCTTCGTTATACCGACCGGCTGATTCGATTTCGAGAGATTATAAGCGGTATCGTCTTGGATTACCGAGTCACGAAGACGAAGAAGAAACCTTAGGATCGAGGTCCCGCGCGTACTGTGTCTATCTCTCTTTCTCTTTTTCTGTCTCTCTTTCTTTCCCCCGCCCCCGCTCTCTCTCTCTCTCTCTCTCTCTCTCTCTCTCTTTTTTTCTTACTCATTTGCATGACATTTTTCCTCATTCGAAACAACGTCCGAACGGGAAAAGAGAAATGAGAACTCGCACGAATGATCCAATCGATTGAATTAGTTATAACCACTCATTAAAATAATAAATTCAAATCATTTAAGCATGAATATATAAAATCAATGATAAGTTGATGTGTCATCGATTATACTCTATATAAATAATATATCGAAATTTGACGATAGATTAAAAAGATATTTAAATATAATAATTAATGAAAATATATTTATAAATGAATCAAGAAAATATAATATAGTAATAAAAATGAAAGATAAAAGATGAAAGATAATCGATATACATATGTATATATATATATATGTGTGTGTGAGTGTGTGTGTGTATGTATGTATGTATGTATATATGCCTGATCTACGCGTTTGACTATTTCACAATCTTTCTTCCATCTCTCTCTCTCTCTCTCTCTCTCTCTCTCTCTCTCTCTCTCTCCTTCTTTCTCTCTCTCTCTCTCTCTCTCTCTCTCACTACATCATCGTCATCATCTCAGAATCGATCTTTTACATAATCTCCGTTATTAACAAGCCACGAAAGTCCAACTAATCCTTAACAGTATCGCCCGTTTGGGAGATAAGCTCGTTCAAAGCATATACGCCATATTAATTCTATAAATAACACTTGCCAGTAGACGTACGTCGATAGATAATCACACTAACTTTCACGTTACTCCCGATCGAATTTTCCTTCTTTATTACTTATGATTTAGGAATACTACGAATGAACTAATCTGACCGACAAAAGAAATCATCTGCCTTATGCGGAAACGGTGCTCGAAAACACGGAAAGATAAATATTCGTAGAAAGTATCTTCCACTTCACTTTCTTTCTTTCTTTTTCCCTTCTCCCCCTCTCTCCCTCTCTCTCTCTCTCTCTCTCTCTCTCTTGCATTCACTCGTTCACATTAAAAAGAAGAAACCATTATCGTTGGGGATGGCCCACCGCAAACTCGGACGTAGGGTTGTCGAAAAATATGTTCCAACTTTTTTATCTTGTATCCGTGAAGCACCGAGAACTGAAAGCGGGTAGGGAGCCGTTAATTTATCAGCAAAAAAGTGAAAGAGAGAAAGAGATACAGAGACAGAGACAGAGACAGAGACTGAGACAGAGAGAGAGAGAGAGAGAGAGAGAGAGAGAGAGAGAGAGAGAGAAAGAGAGAAAGATAAAAAGAGAAACATTTAAAGAGAGCGTCACTCGTTCTTTCGACGAATCGGCACGACTTTCTTTCATTTCCCGTTCAGTAAAAAAAAAGAAGAAGAAGAAGAAGAAGAAGAAGAAGAAGAAAAAAGAAACAGAAGAAAAAGACGAAAAAAAGAAAAGAGAAAAAACGTAGCGAAAAAAGTCTCGATGGAGAATCGATTAGTCTTGCTGTTACTCTCTTTCTCGTTCTATTCCCCCTCTCTCTCTCTCTCTCTCTCTCTCTCTCTCTCTCTCTTTATCTCTCTCTCTCAACCGGAAGTGCGTGTTTGAAAATAATGCGACCGTTTCGCGGTTTTAATTGAATATTTAATAAATCGCAAATATAGCGCGCGATGCGCGCGGAGATTTAATTAAATTTTAATCGCCTTAATTAATTCCATTACAAAATTATGCGCGCGCGCTTTCCCTCCTCCCTTCCGTTCCTTCTACTACCTACCCTTTCTCCAGCCGCCCCCTCCCACCCTCTCATCGTTTCTCTCCCCGTCTTCTCTTCTCACATACTCACCTATTCGTACTTCTCTTCTACCGATCACGGCCCGTACACGGATAATTCCCTAATTTTGCGTTATGCTCGTAGCTTGGAACACATGCCAATGCGATATTCTACAGGGATTTTCTGTATTTTCGAACGTTCCTTTCCCATTCTTTTCGTTATCTCGTTGTCGTTAAAGTTTCGAGTTCCCCCGATGAACAAGAGAATAAGAGAGAGAGAGAGAGAGAGACAGAGAGAGAGAGAGAGAGAGAGAGAGAAAGAAAATTACATTTTACAAAAGCTGATGTTTCGTAAATATAAATTAATAATGTAAATGATTAAAAAGAAAAAAGTATCGAACACGGATACTATTGAATGGTTATTATAAAAAAAAAAAAGAAAAATTAAAAAAAAAATTAAAAAAAACAATATAGACTTAATATCGGTTTAAAATGTAATTGAAATTACTAATAGCAACTAGTAATTAATAACCTATTTGACTGGCAGATACAATACATAAAATTATAAAATACCAAAAAGTTAAATTGTTAAAGTAATTATTGTCTGATGAATAAAAATTTGCGTAAAGTGGGATAAAAGAAAAAAATTAAAATTTATATAATTTGACACAGACAACGAAATTAATTATGAATATGTCAGGATTAATGTAATAATTATTAGAAATAATAAAACACGACACTTTAACATCCAATCGTTATGTTAAATCGCGTTATATAAAAACGATGGATAGTTAATATTAATGAAGAAAAAAATGATTGCACGAGAGATAATTAAAATCTATGAAAAAGAGAGTAAATAATAAAATAAATGAATCGAATAGAAAAAAAGAAAGAAAAATAAATTTCAAACGCTTATAACTCTGGCAAAGGCTCGATCTTAATAATTGGCCCACAAGAATAAAAAGAAAAAAAGAAAAAGAAAAAGAAAAAAGAAAAAAAGAGAAAAAGAATATTATTATCGCCGTCTCAAACTCGGTCTTGTCTCGATCTCTTCTTCTTCTTCTTCTTCCTTCGAGGGTCCTTCCGATGAATCTTATCATCCAGCGAGAACTGTCAAAGACGAGAAGCTTGCTTGACGCTTCTTCCGACGTGCCAGTTCCTTCCTCTCAGTTTGCGAGGCGAACGGGGAGATAACCGGAAGTTAGATAGGACCTGCACCAGAAATGAGAAATGTCTTTGCCGTTGCAGAGATTAAAGATTTCGCGGATGAGTTAGCTGCCACTTTCTTTCTATCTTCGCCCTCTTTTTGGTCTTTCCTTTTTCATGATTCTATCATTCGTCTTTTAAGACAACAACTTTTTAGACAACTCGACCTTGTTCCTCATTTATATACTGTATAATAAATGAACACAATCAATATTATAACTTTATTAATATAATTTATAATTAAAATATTTAAACTTATCTGTATGAACGAGAAAAAAAAGAGAGAGAGAGAGAGAGAGAGAAATATTATATAACAACAATGATTAGAACAAATAAGATTTCATTATTCGTTATTGCATTGCATCATGTAAACGAAATGACAAAAGTTAAATATATTTCTCATTCTTAGCAACATATTTCTTAACTGGGTAACCACGTTGAAAATAAAGCTACAAAGATCGTTCTTTAACAGGACGAGTCACGTGGCACGGTGAATCGTAAGATACGAAACGTTGCTAATAAACAGACCGCGTAATACGGTCTACCGCGACTAAACCCTGTGGCGTAAAAGCCCACCTTAAACCAGCTGATCCCGGTACAAAGACGACGCAAGGACCGGGCACCTTAATGAAAACTGTACGTCCCTGGATTAAGGTGGCCACCGGTCAGCCTACAGCATCCCTCTAGGTACGACCTGTCTTATGCAACGTAGGGTGTAGATGAGAGAGAGAGAGAGAGAGAGAGAGAGAGGCAGAGAGAGAGAGAGAGAGAGAAGACCTTCTCTATGATGTCCGACCGTATTAGATGGAAGTTTAGAGGCATTAATATCTAATATAGTGGTGCCAGGTAGTAAATCCTTTCTCGGTTATCTTCACTGGAGACTTAACACCTTGCATCGAGGAGCCATTGGCCATCAATCTATCCGTCTCCGAGCTCTCTGGGATCTTTATACATTGACTTTTGGCGTTTAATATTGATTATAAATAAATTATTAAATAAACACATACGTACAAAAAGAAAGAGAGAAAGAGAGAGAGAGAGAGATTTGCTCTTCTTCATTGATCGTAAAAAAAGAACAATTAAGGGAGAAAGATGGAAATAAATTCGGCGTTTAACAAGCATTTAGGATAATCAAAATCCGTAGACATTGAAAGCGTATTCTAAGAGATTGGTATTATGCGAATTGAACCTGGTAAAGCACTATTTTCTCTCTCTCTCTCTCTCTCTCTTCTTCCTTTTCATTTTCTCTCTCTCTCTCTCTTTCTCTCTCTCTCTCTCTCTCTCTCTCTCTCTTTCTGTCTCTTTCTCCATTTTCTCGGTTTCGGAGAAATCTGGGATTATGATCTGAAGTGGGATAGAGACTCCGGGACTTAAGTCAGGGTTACACAAGGATCGCAGCTATTGTGCCATCGCCCAGCTTCCATTGTCTCGGTTTAGACGAGTGGATCTGCATATGCTTAACATCGGAGTTAGACATCTCTTGGCGATCTTCAACTCCGCGAATCATCTCCAATGTCGATGTCGATGCCCATTGTACTGATGTAAAACGTCTTGGTGTCGGAATAGCCAATGCGAATTAGAAAAGCGGCTTTTCCTTTCGATCCTTTTCAGTTATTTCTTTGTTGTCTTAATTTTCTTCTTTTTTTTTTCCAGCTCTCATCGATTTCTCAATTTTCTTTGTTACAGCGAAAAATCTTCCGGTTCATTGCGTCGTCGAGACAATTCATAACATCGTCGAGAGTCATGCTAGCAATGCACGTGAAAATTGGCGAAGACCCCAGATCGAGACTGATTCTTACGTAATCATTCCGGTTGCGATGCCCTTTCAGGTAATTTCTTTTTTTTTTTTTTAAATTGATTCGACATTGAAAAAATGCCTACTTATAAAAAATTTATTAAATCTCCTGCTTAAAGGTTTTATGATAATAATTAATAATCATTTAAAAATAATGAAAATATTTTTTTGTTCCGCGAGAATTTGTACAATTATCATAATATATATTAAATCGAAATTCGCTATGCACTATGAAATTATTCTCACTCGTCTTATATTTTACTGTGGTTACTTTAAAGATCACGTGGTTAGCGTTAAAGTCAACGTTATAAAAAAGACAATTAAATACGATTGACATTGATATTTATCGTTTCAGGATTTAGTAGGCGAGGCATTGGTCCGGCTGGGTTACTCGAGCGATTTGATACCAAGCGCGAGAGGTAGCATAGTGATAAGAAACTGGAAACCTCTGCCGATGGAAAAAGTAGCTGAAGGTCCACTTTTAACCGTTGGCGATATCCTTGCGGAACTTACTTCGGTAGCAACCTTGAAGATTCAGGTTTACAGATCGAGACCACCACCTCCTAGTCCCGCAGCCGAAGTTAGAAATAAATTGCTCAGGCTGCTTTTACTTCATAGCCATGCGCTTCTCGTTTCCGCAGGATGTCCTTTGGACGAGGTAAGGAATCTAAGTTTATTTCGTTGAATAAAATCTTGAGAAATGGGAAGGAAAAGGTAGAGAGAGAGAGAGAGAGAGAGAGAGTGAAAGAGAGAGAGAAAGATAGACAAAACGATTCTCAAGGTCGACTTGTAAAGAGCCATCACGAGGAGCACTTAAAAATGTATAAAATGTAAATCTAGCCCGAAGAGTGTTTGCCTTCGTGGCGCTTTAATCTCATTAAGAAGTCCTCCTCTTTGGTACTCTTGTTCCTCCTTGGTAGAACCACACTGGTAATCTTCGCCGTTGGAGTCTCGCACCCGGCTGATCCTCGCCTTAAATAAATGTTCTCTCGGTTTCGTGTCGCCGATCGAAAATTCGTCTCGATAAAAGGCCCTGACCCTCTTTACTTTTCTTTTTTCTCTTTCCCCCCTCTCTCTCTCTCTCTCTCTCTCGTTTCCCTTAACTGTTTTTTTCTTTTTTTTTTCTTTTTTCTTTTTTTTTTTCTTTCGAAAGAATAACGATCGCGAGTACTTCTGCGAGCTATTGAATATACATGGATCTTTCGCAAGAGAGTTATCTCCACGAGAGAAAGAACGTTCGTTGAAATTCTAAGAATACGAAGTTAGATCGAAACCAATGAAAATTGTCTTTTCGAGTTCTCCTTTTCTTTTTCACTTCTTTTTTTTCCCCCTCTTTCCTTTTTCCCCCAATTCTTTTTTTTTTTCTTCCCTTTCCATCCTTTTTCCAACAACGAAAGCGATCATCCACAATACGTCAACCGGAAAAGGAGAACGCTTCGCGATCGTGCTTTCTCGACAGTAGAAGATCTTATAGCGTGTGATAGGATTACCCTTTACTCAACCAAATTCGCAGCCTTCATCAAAAGCCCCTTCGATATCGGCACAGGGTAGCCACCCTTCTACCACCCTTCTCTCTCTCTCTCTCTCTCTCTCTCTCTCTATCTCTATCTCTATCTCTCTCTTTCTCTCTTGTTCTCTCTCTCTCTCTCTCTCTCTCTCTTTCGCTTACTCGACGAACCGGTATTATCTAAGTGCACTCTCTTTGAAGATCCTGCTACCCACCCATCCCCGAACTTTAATGCCGCTCGCGGTGGTCTATGATTACCAATTTTCCCTGGCAGACGTTACCCGCTCGTATTTCGGCCCGTTGGCTAATGGCGAACGACCGTGATGGAGAACCTTCGTCTCTCATAGATTTACTTTAATCTGACAACGATTCCTACTCGAGGATTCATCGAGTAAAAGACATTGGGTTATATCTTGAAATTCAACGTAATGATTCCATTGAAGTAAAATGCATTGAGAAAATTGATGATTAATTTTTTTTCTTCTTCGGAAATAGAAAAGAAAAAAAGAGAAAAAGAGGAATGATAATACTCATTGGTATTATCTAGTTAATAAACTAGATTTTATTTATACTCAATTAAAGAAAAGAAAAAAAAAAGAAAGAATAATTGATTGACTCTTAACAAACTCTGACATCATCGTTAAACATATCATTTTCATGCGTTTTCTACTATCACATTTTATTAGATATATGCATATATCTACGATCGAGTCACTCGATAAATTTATATTTCGTATCGTTCATAATCGTCCAACGTCAAAATTTTAATCAAACGTATAGTCTCGAGTAAATTTTCCATCTACTTTCGTAAGCCATCAACACCACCACCATCGCCGCCTAGAGTAATCGCGTTAGCCCTCTGATGATGCTTGTTGTTGACAAAATTACGAATTCATTCTTCATACGTGTGTTTACTCTTGGATTTAAAGGCGATTGATTTACTACTGGCCCGTACCTCGGCGGGATCAGCTGACAGACATCATCAACTGCGTCAACCTTCGCGAATAATAAATACGTGTAAATCAGGCTCGAAGAGAAGCGCAGCTACTCGTAGAGTCTCAGATAAGCCACTTGATACGTTTTTGAATAACGACGACAACGACGACAACGACGACAACGACGACGACGACGACGACGACGACGACGACGAAGACAAAGAACGATGATGACTGTTTACTGAACGATTTCTCAAATCTTCTGAGCAGAAGTCTACGACGACTGTCTGGCCAATGACGCCTTTACCAATCTACACCGCTTTAACCTGACTGAAAGATTAAGTGCGCCGTTGTAAAACTCATGGATGAAGATTCAATGTTTTGCTGTCAGTTTATAATAACGAATTAAAGACGCGTCGTTTGGCGTCTATTTTAATTACAAGGTTAATTAGTAGTCTTCCATTATTTTCTTGTTTCTTTCTTTTTTTTTTTTTATTTCTTCTGACTACTTAAACAAACAGAAATTATCAACAAACATTTTATGATCTACTCGTAAAATAAATATACTTAAATATATATATATATATATATATATATATATATATATTTAATATATATCTTTTTTGATAATTTACTTTAAGTATTAAAATATTCCTAAGTATGTACTCTCTTAGGTAATTGTAATAGATCTGATTAAAGGCAACCTTATCGTTGCTATTTCTGGTACAATTAAACGACAAGACTTTCTCGAGAATATTTCTTATTTTTTCGTTCTCGTCATCGTTGGAATTTATGACTAACAAATCCGCAATACGAAAAATCCTCCAAGTATCCGATTGATATCGTATATCTACACGAAATACGAAGAGAATTTTACAAATTCGGTGTGAAAAAAAAATAAAAGAAAAAAGTCGCTTGAAATTATGACCCTCTCATCTTACGCAATTTTCATATCGCAAATGTAAACTTCAAGACATTGTACTTAGACTAATAGTTCATGCCGAATGAAGCAAGGCCGTGCACAATTCTTAGCTTCTTGATTGATATATCAATCCGACGTTAAGTGTTCGCTCAAAGAAATATCGCTGTATCATGTCGAAAAAAACAAGCGTTGTATAAATCATGTTCAACATGAACGGTTTTAAATAACACTTATTTACGTTATGTTACATTCTATGCTTTTAGTATTTTTGAGAGAGAGAGAGAGAGAGAGAGAGAGATGGTGGGGGGAAGGGGAGGGGAGAGGTAATGGTAAAGAAAAAGAAAAATAAAATGAAATTCGTCTGTTTAAAGATCATAAAATATTTCAATTTAAGATCAATTCGATCGTTATGATTTATAAAATGACGGCACGATGCGTCAGGAATACGGAATGGATTACCTCGTTTATTAAGACTTTGTCGAGCTGCTTGATCCTCACCTCGCGGAGCCTGTTTGTTCTTATAAATCATCCCACAGATAAGGCACACTCTCCGTACTACTTCCTACGACTCCGAACTTTTCCATAATCTGACTACTTAATGCCCGATGACGATGAGCGCCGTCCTCGGGGACGGCTATCGGCATCGTGCAACGCCCACTTGTGTCAACACGATTAAAAGAAGACGCGCGTGCCAGGATCTTACGCGATTCACCTCCCTCTCAATCACACTTATATGTCCTTGCATAACGAATCTTCGACCGGTTTAAAAAAAAAAAAGAAAAGAAAAGAAAAGAAGAAAGAAAAAGAGAAAAAAGAAATTCCTTATGCGATTATAATCGTTCTCTTTGATGTAAATGTTTTTCTCTTTCTTTCTTTTTCCTTTTCATTTTTTTTTCTTTCTTTCTTTTTTTTCTTTTTTTTTCTTTTTTTTTTTTTTTTTTTTTTTTTTTTTTTCTTCATTGCATCATACATCATCGTTACTCTCCAGTAATTATTAATTTTCTTATCTCGAGTGATTTTCATATTTATAATTCTTCAAATTAATCAATCGTATAAAATCAAATGTAATATTTTCCTAAAGCGAGGTCTCTAGATACGATATGAATTATTAATACATATGTATTTCAAGTATTTCAATATGACCAATAATATATACTTGGGAGATCTAATCTTGCACTCGTTTAATCCAAGTAATGCAGGAATAGCAGGTAATTTCAAGAGGATTCCCATTTTGCCGTAGATGACACTGTTGTCGCTCTGTAGAGGCGGCAACGATCTGTCGGAGGAGACCAAGAGGAATTTTGAGTCTTGGCTACAGCAACAACAATTGGGTCTTGGTCTGAATCCGATCGTACCATCCTCGAATCATCATCATCATCATACTCAAAGTCCTCAACCAGATGGTAGCGGACCAATTGGCGCTGGGAGTGGTGCGATTGGGCCACCACATCCAGCACTTTTACAATACTCTCATAAAACACGTATGAGAACTAGCTTCGATCCAGAACTCGAGTTACCACGACTTCAACGTTGGTTCGGTGAGAATCAGCATCCAACACGACAACAAATACAACATTACGTGACGGAATTAAATTCGTTGGAGTCACGACGGGGTAGAAAACCATTGGACGTGAACAATGTCGTTTATTGGTTTAAAAACGCAAGGGCTGCTCAAAAGAGAGCTGAGACCAGGGGTGTCAACGGTTACAGTCCACCAGGATTGAGTCCAAGAGGCGCCAGTATTGTTAGTGAAGATTGTTCCGACGAGGAGGAAGACTCTAGGCATCAGGTATAATATTCTAATTAACTTTTATATAAGAGATCATAAAAGCTGATCGAATTACTTTTACCCTTTTAGGACATATATGTGTATAATGAGATATATAGATATTGTCAGACATAATAAATAATTTTAATATAACCGTTTGATCGATATTCACTCTTTAAATCAATCTAATTAAGCGAAGAAAATTTATTTCCAAATTGATTCGCTCTTATTTATTCATAATTATTTAGACATCTTTGTTTCTTATGATTATCGTGTATCACTATAACCTCACGGTCGGTAAACGTGGTTTATTTCTTTTCTTTCCTGAGCTCGTAGTTAACAATCCTTAGCTTCTATAATGAATTAGCTCGGCCCAAGTCTGGTCGGTTGCTTTTGAAACGATGAATTTACGATCATTTCGAATAGCCTCTATTAAAAGTCGGCTTCTCAGACACTCTCGTCTCGTCCATTTGCTTCAGTCGACGTCACCGTCGCCCTGCCCACCTAGTAGCCCACCGGTCGGTCCATTGTCCTTGACTACACGACCAGAGGATCAACAACCGCCACCTTCGACGCCATCTTTGGTCAAACAAGAGGACACCAGAGTATCATCTGGTTCCGAGGACGAAGAGGCTAGACCGACTGGTCCTCTTCCACCAGGATTTTCATTAGTACCCAGTCCAATGTTCGGACACGGCATTATGTACATGTCACATTATTTGCCACCACGTGGACCAGCTGGATGTCCGACGAGTATGCTCGACGAAAGGAGAAAGAGAAATCGGACATTCATTGATCCCGTGACGGAAGTACCCAGGCTCGAGACTTGGTTCACTCACAATACTCATCCGAGCCATGCGGTACGTTTCATTTTATTATCATCGATGATATTGACATATATTTTTCACATTCAAAAATAATACGAATCTCTAAACGTTAGATTGATTAAATTTATTTAAAACGGCCGGCTATATTTTTGTAACAATTCATTTATTTCAAGTAACTCAAACAAATTGTTAGGTTGGAACGATCTTTTATTAATTGAATCGAAAAATTGAAAAATCCTCAGAGGAATTTAAACACTTTTAACATTGTTGTTGCATTTCATTTGAAGAACTAGAATCAATTTATAATATTTAATTTTAATCGAAGTATACGTTAACGTTTAATGCTTTAAAAATAATCCAATTAACAGAATTAATTCATACATCTTTATATCTTCATATAAAATTAATAAATGATATATTAAAGAGAAATATCTCAAATTTGTAAAAATGTCTGGATGTGATTTTAAAAGAGTATATCATGATCGATTCGCAGCTCATTCTCAAGTACACGGAGGAATTAAATCGAATGCCCTATCGTCAGAAATTTCCACGATTGGAGCCGAAGAACGTGCAGTTTTGGTTCAAGAATCGTAGGGCCAAATGTAAGCGATTGAAGATGGCCTTATTCGAAGGAGAGTCACCTCAACAACATCCATACCACGCAGATTAGTTCCTTTTACCTTAATCGCATTAAACTAGAGACACTCAGCTCAACTCTACTGAAGAAGGAGCAGAAGAAGAAGAAAGAGAAGGAGGAGGAGGAGGAGGAGGACGAGAAAGGATTCGTGAAGAAACTCAAAACGAATGCGAATCGTGTTGTTATAAGAAGAAAAAAAAAAAAAAAAAAAAGCCGAATACTCGAATGCACTATTACTTTGATCGTGTCGACACGCTGTCGGCCATCTTTATTGTAATTATATCGCGTAATGATTAATATAATTAACATGGAATTTGATCAATGTAAATACGAGAACGATGTCGAATAAATCTGTATGTCACGATCGATCGTCTACTTTCAGTGACATCTTTATCATATATTCCATTAAAGAATTTCCATCACATGCTGGAGATTCAACGATTATATAGAGTAAGTATGTATATCATTAGAAAAAATAATTACATTTTATTAAATTACTTCACGAGATGAATATTCGATTAAGAATATTCAAATGTTATTCTCCATTGAAAATTGCAATAAGTAAATTATATAAATCCAATATTGTTTCTTCTTTTTATTTTAACTTTAAATATCACATTTATATATCTGTCTCTTTCAAAGAATATTCTTAATTTGACATAATTTTTAACTATCAAACAAGATACAGAGATAATAATAAAGAACGATGAAGGACAATCGATAGATATATAGGCCTGTTCTTACAACAGATAATTATCAAAGTCGATAAATTGTTAAAGTTCCTCTCATAAGAGTTATTATATTTGTTTAACTTTGAACCTACGCGAAGAAGAGAGACGTATGCACATATTATATATATATATATATATATATATATATATATATATATATATACGTATATACATATGCATACATATATCTTTACACAAATAGGTACGTGTCGATACCGTCTTCAAGTTTGTCCTCGCACAAAGGACAACCACCGACCGAAATCTCGTCCCTAAGAGATAAGACAACGGAGCTGTCATCGAAACAACCCTAACTCAAGCGTCACGACGATCAATGAATACTTCTCTACAAATGAGAATCAGAGAATGTTTCTATCGATGTAACCACGTTCAATTTATTACATATACACATAGTACGAGAATTTCACGATAATAAGAGACTACTATTTTCTACGTTACTTTGTTGTGTCGCTTTAAATTCTCCAATATTTTCCCATTTATAAATATTACATTAATACTTAAACATTTCAATAAAGTAGAAAATAACAAAGAAAAAGAGATATTTGAAAGAGATCAATGAAAATTTATTTCTATTGAAATAATTCAATATTATAAGATACGAATAGGATTATACAAATGACCTATTTATTTAAATTTCAATAAATCGATAATAATCGACGTATTATTTTTGTTAACTTTATTTTTGTACTTCGCCGATATCGTTAAATTTCTGATATTACTACATTTTCAATGATCTTCTCGTAAATAGGAAGACAAGATCGAGGGCAAAATAAATCTCGTTCTTATCTGTCAATAGACGAACACAGGTACGTTCTATCTTTTCACTTCGTTCAAGTGGCTAGTGACGCACAAAGATGACGAAAGGGATATCGTCGTCAACGACGACTATGATATATATACTCAGAGAGGATAGGTCCTTCTGGATGCCAGTTGAGAGCGTCCCAGATTTAATGAACGTAGGAGGATTTGTCCAATTAAAACGTCTTACAAGGATCCATTTGGAACCGAGGCTCGTTCCGTTCGCAAAACATCGAATCACGACTTTGCCACGACCCGCCTCTTCTTATCCCTCGACTATGCAGGTATTATATATAATACATTTGACGGTTATCCCCCTTGTTATCGTTATCGAGTCTCCGCCTTTCGTAGAAACCAAGAATATTATCGAGAGGAACGAAAGAATCGTTTCCATGAAAATATATAGGAACGTTTATGAAAACGAGACTCTCATTAGATATTTCGATTTTTATCTTCACTCCTTTCATTTTTCTTCCTTTTTTCCCCCTCCCCGCTCCCCCCCTCTCTCTCTTTCATTTCATCGCATTTATATTATCACTAATTGCACCTTCATAAGTAAATTCCTCCAATCTTCCTTACGAATTCGTTAAATATAAAAATATAATAAATTAATCGTAATCTTGATATCATATATTCATGAAAGTCCATTCTTTTGCAATACGAATTAAAATATACATATATATATATATATATATATATATATATAAGTATGTCAATTTAATGAAGAAAATCTTATCTGTGAATTCTTAAAAAACGAAATTCACCTAACTCAACTCTGACAGGTAATCGTGAAGAAAAAATAAAAAAGAAAAAAAAAAAAATAAAAAAAGGAAAGGAAAAGAAAACCGAGAGACAGTGAAATCTTAATCCCATCGAAATAAGGGGCGGGAGAAGGAGAGAAAAGAAAGGTAAAAAAAAAAAAAAAAAAAAAAGAAGAAAAAGGGTAGAAGAAGCATCGAGGAGTGGTCGGACGGATAAGCAAAAATGAGAGCAACGTCGAAAAGGAGTGTATAAGGCGAATCATGACGAAGGAAAGCGAAAAGATCGTCGTACTCGTCGTCATCGTCGTCGTAGTCGTCGTCGTCGTAGTTGTCGTCGTCGTTGTAGTCGTCGACGAAGAAGAAGAAGAAGAAGAAGAAGAAGAAGAAGAAGAGGAGGAAGTGGTAGATGAGGACGAAAAAGTGGCGAGAAGGGAAGCGGGAGTGATGATGGGGGAGGGTCTTCTCATGCAAAATCTAAAAGTCAGCAACCTCGAGGATCATCCCTCTATCTGATCTTAATTTGTCAGCCGTTACGAGCATTTTCGAGCGCGTTCACGCAGATGATAAATCGGCATGACGTATAAACGGTTCGCCTTTTCTTCCTCGTAAAAGTGTCGTCTCTTACGGGCTGGCCTCTATTGGTAGACGAATTAATTAGCGAGAATATAAGAAAGAAAGAAAAAAAAAATGAAGGAGTAGGAGAAGGAGTTGGAGAAGGGAGAAAGTAGAAGAGAAGTAGGAGGATAAAGAAAAAAAGATGAGAGTGGAGTGGGAATAGGAGGAGTCAATTCTTATCGGCGTATTTCGCGAGTTCATACTCTCTCTCTCTCTCTCTCTCTCTCTCTCTCTCTCTCTCTCTCTCTTTCTCTCGAGAAATTTTCGGTGGATACGATATGCGAACGGGAAGAGATAGAAAGAGATAGATAGATAGATAGAGAGAAAGAAAGAGAGAGAGAAAGACAGAGAGAGAGAGAGAGAGAGAGAGAGAGAGAGAGAGTACGTCTCGTTCGTAAGGGAGCATTGTGTGCGCTTCGGCATTCATAGGACGTTCTTATCTTCCTACCCGGAGAGCTGTCAGCAAAGTTCCTGAATAATAATGGAGCGTGAGAGACAGAAGAAGAAAGAGAGAGAGAGAGAGAGAGAAAATGCGTCGAAAGAGAAGAAGAGGAAGAGCTCGCGGCGTTCTCTCCTATCAGCCGGCTAGGATATGCCTAACTATTCTGTTTCAAAACGCTTGCCGGACGTTTCGCCATAGATAATGTTGTCCAGGATGGTTAGATTGTTGGATACGACCGATAAGACGACCAAAAAACTATCTCAACGTAGCTGTTACGAACAAGAGCGAGTCGATTACGTCGAAACTCACTTCAGATTGTTACTTTACGAGGAATACCTATGCCTTTTGAAGTTTCACATCAAACGAATATGCCAGATATTATTATGACTAAGAGAAAGAGGAAACAAAAGAGATAGAAAGAGAAAGAGAGAGAGAGAGAGAGAGAGATATGAGAAAAATTTTCAAAATTATAAATATGAATAAATTCAAATAATAATTTAAAATATATCTCTTTCTCTCTCTCTCTCTCTCTTTTTTTCTAAAAATGAACAAAATTATATCTTATATAAAGAAAATTTGTTCTAATCAAAATGTATATGTACATATATTCAATTTTATTAGATATTTTATTAAACTATACGAATCCATATATCGCGTTTTTTCTTTTATTATTTAAAAGACGGACTATTAAATTTATAACATAACAAAATTTCATCAGCACATTCACGAACATATAGATTGATGAATTTTCAAAAAATTAAAAAAAATGATAAAAATCGAAAAGGCTAACAGGTTCGTCGATAAAATTCCCATTTCCGGTTATCACAGCGACTTATAAAAAGATTTATAATATATTGTACTCCCTTGCGAAATTTCAAGCTAAATAAAAGATAGGTAAAGGTTGAGAACGTTATCACGAAGGGTCGCCGAGAAGGCAAAGAAAACAACGAGGATGAAAGAGAGGGAGTCCAGGGAGAGTTAAGAGACTGAATCACGAAGGAGTACGAGAAATCGGGAGTTCGCAAATTAGCCGCAGGATTGGCCTCATAATCCTTGAGGGATGCGAAGCGTTTATTTCTCTCTTTCTCTATCCCTCCCTCTCTTTCTCTCTCTCTCTCTCTCTCTCTCTCTCTCTCTCTCTCTCTTTCTCTCTATCTATTTCTCTCTCACTCACTCTTTTTCTTTTTGCCTCCCTTCAGCTTTTTTCCTCAAGGGTGGTAGATGAGGTCGTATAAACGGACTCACTTCGTGGCCCTATCTTACCTCTCTCTTTCTCTCTCGCACTCCTTCTCGTTCTTTCATTCTTTAATCCCTCCCTCCTCGAATTACTAGCAACGACCGTAGTAAAAATTATGATCACCGAGAAAAGGATCGGACGAGAAGATCAACGATTGAAAGTAATGAGCCGTGTGATAGCAGAGAAGAACCCAAGAGAAGAAGAGAGAGAAAAAGAGCAGACCGTTTAATCCATAAGTTGGGACTAATTAATCCCGTTAATTTAACACTATCGTCTGAGGTATCCCTTGAGCAGGAACATTTACGTCAATTTCACGTACGACGATACGTGGCTCGTATTACATATTTCGGAAAGGAACGAGTAAGAAGATAAACCAATCAGAAGGTTAAATGCCCTCGAATACGTAGGAGGAGATGCCTTAATTGATCTATAGCGAAAGATTAAATGGATTAGACGTTCATGGTTAAGCCTAAATGGTAAGACGGCTATGATTTATAAGACAAAATAACTTTAACAACGTTTTCTTATTTCGATACTGAAAACAAATGATTGGCTTACTAAAAAATACTATAAAATAAATAATCAAAAATGAGATAATAAGAATATTGTCGTTTGATTATTTTTCTATGATCTAAATAGATACCTTATATATCTACTTATGGAGAAACGAAAAAGAAAAAAAAAGCCAAGAATATACTTGAGATCATGGTTAAAGGACAGGGGGATCTCTTAATTGATCTACGGCTAAATATTACACGATCGA